GCAGCGTCTTGGTAGCCACAGCGAATCCTGGTGCCATGCCCCCGCGCAGCCCTCCTGCGGGGCCGCGGCTTGTTGACGTTCGCCACTGCAAAGCTGACCTGAGGTGGCATGCCTGTTGTCGAAGAGTCTCGTGGCACGCGCGAGTTTTCCGAGCCGCGGCCAGCAGGTGGCGAGAAGGCCATGCGGAGATCCAGGGGTGGGTAGATGGCAGGCATTTCATTCGCACCAACATGTGGATAAACCCCGAGGCCGTCGTTGAAATGTGCACTCACCCATAACCAAGGCACATCAGCATCGGCGTCAAGCAATACTGGCTACGGTTGAACGTCGGCATCTGCCGTCGGAGCAGGTCCCAGTGGTGCAGGGCGCGCTGGGGTATACGGATGAGCGCTATGTCCTCAGGCGTGTTTCCAGGTGAGCCTCGTAAACTGGCGTAGTACCTTCGGGGCACCGTCGAACATCCAAGGTCAGTTTCCACAATATGTATATTGGGTAACCCCGTCGGAGATTGAAACCGCGAGCGGTTATCCATGCGTGCCTCGACTGGGAGATCACGAAACCTTTCGTGGGCTTGCGATAACCATGGCGCCATCCACAGTGCAGCTTAACATTCAGCGGCGCCCGACGGACTGGCAACTGAGTCGGAAAGGGACGGGTCGACCCCGCGCAAGCACCCCTCACAGATATATCTGCCTGTCGTCGTAATTGAAAATCTACGCCGAGCCCACGGCGGTGGCCCGCCCAACTATTGCTGCTTGGACCCTCCGGACCCATCCGTGTATACCTCAAGCCTAACCTTATCATCTACTGGGGGAGGGCACCGTGGGTTTCAAAACATTGACGGGCGCTGCTGCGCAGGAAATGCAAGAGGCATTAGTCGGGCTCTCGATTTGGCCGAAGAAAAACGGGGCTAAGAGAAGCACTAATAGACCAGGGCTGACAGAGGTGCCTGGCCAATGCGCTCCAATCTGGCATGGGCATCGAGGTCGGGCTGGCTCAGACTCCCTCTGAGGCAATGGGGCAGGCGGCGCAGCTGGAAGTGCGCCAGCAACGGGCAGGCTGTGAGATGGCAAGGCAGGCATCTCACTCCCCAGGGCCTGCCCGCCATGTTGCGTCGCCCTGGCGTCGACGCGCCAGGCGCGCTGCTGCCGCCGCCAGCGACGAGGAAGCTGTCCTCGCCAGCCCGCCTCGGGGTGTGGCTGTGGCTGTGCAGCGCGCTCCTGTCCTGCCTCCGCGGCGACTTTAGCGCGTCCGGCAGGTGTGGATGGCACTGCGCCGCGGCCGCGATGGCTGGGCGCCGTCTCCTGGCGCGCGATGGCGTCGCGCAGTCCCTGCTGGCCGTCTGGCTTGCGAGCGCGGTCTGCCTCGCGCTTGGCCTTCCGCGCCGCCGCCGCACGGACCCGCAACTCCTCCGCCGTGGGCGGCGCTCCAGGCCCTCCCCTCCTGCTGGCGGCGGCTCTCCGCCGCCCGCGGCGCACGGTGGCCGCGACGGCGGCGGCCGCAGCGTGGGCCGCAGCTGCACGGGCCGCCGCGTCGGGCAGCGCGGCTGCGGCGGCCGCGGGCCCAGGCGCGTCGGCGCGAAGCGCCGACGCAGCGGGGGCGGCGGCTGGGGCTGCAGCTGCTGGCACTATCCGCTGAGGTTGACCCGCGTAGGGCGCCGCGCCAGGGGCGGCCTCAGTCACTGTGCCAGGGCCCGTGGCCGCGCGGGCAGTGGTCAGGTTCGCCTGCAGCGTCGTCAGCAGCTGCGTGAGCGACGTGAGCTGTCTGGTCAGCTGCGCCTGTCCCGCCTGCAGCTCCGCGATGGCGGCGACGGGCGGCGCCTGGTCACGCGGCGTGCCTGGGACGACGCCGGGCCCGGGCGGGGTGGACGCGGCGGCCGTCGGCCGCGGCGGCCTCCACTGCAGGCCGCATCGTTTCCAGCTGGTCCAGCAGCGTCCTGGCCCGACTGAGAGGCTGCTCGCGCTGCAGCACCTTGGCCTCCTTGTCCTCAAGAGTAGCTCGGGCTTGGTCGGCAGCCGCCTTAGCTGTGTCCAACTTCACCTGAGTTCGCTGCACGAAAGCCTGCTGCCGTATCGCATCTCATACCTGGGGCCCGAGCTGTGATGATCATACACAGCTGGGCCGCGTACTCCTCCTGCGGGCGCATTTGCTCGGCCGTCATGCCGAGGTCCTTGGCCGCATGCAGGCGCTCGCCTGTGGCGGCGGCCATCTGTCTTAGCGATCTCCTATGGGCCGCCAGCTCTCGCTCGTCTCCGGATGTCTCGACCAGCGGCAGAGTGGGCAGGATGCCCAGCGCTGGGCTGCGGACCTCGTCCTCCACCTCCGAGCCGTGGCCGCCGTCGGAGTCCTCGTCGTCGGCGAACCTCACGCGCGAACCTGATCGAGGTCGAGGCTCGCTCGGATAACGGCGACGGCGGGGGCGCGAGCCAGAGCGCGGGCGAGCCTCTCTCTGCTGGCTCTTCTGGCGCTGCTGGCGCGGCTCGCCTCCGCCGTCACCGTGCATGGGCCACTGTGCGGGAGGGGCGTGCACGTCTGGCAAAGCATGTCGGCGGGCCCGTTCAGTATGCCGCAAGTCGAACACCACCATCCTGGCGGCGGCGGGGGCACGTGCCAAGGGGCGGGCGTCCTCGTCGGCACGCTCCCTCCAGGAACGCCAGCAGCCCATCCTTTGCGTCTGTGTCCTCCCGAGGGTCCTGCGCCCTTGCAGCCGCCAGCTCCTCCCTTCCCACCCCTGGGGCCTGAGCTGTGGTGCGTGCGCTCCTGGCCGCGGCGGCAGCAACGCGCAGTAGGGTGCGCGACTACGTGCGCCGTTCGCTAGCTCGCCTGTGCCCGGCTGGCTCGCGCACGCGCGGCTCGCGCACGAGCGGCTCGCGCGCCCGCTTGCCCGAGGCAGGCCTGCGCGTCGTGTTGCGCGCGCCCGACGCGGGGCGGCGCACGCCGCAGCAGCAGCGCGGCTGGCCCATTCGCCAACGACGCGGCCACGGCGCGGGCTGGCACGTCTTGCCGCCGAGTCCCGAGGAGGCTCGCAGCGCGTGGCACCTAGTGCCAGGGCGCGGCGCTGCACCCGAAGCCTCGAACCGGGACGGCGGCTGGGGGGAGGAGGGAAGGGAGGAGGAGGAGAAGGATGAGCAGGAAGAGCAGGAGGAGGAGGAAGGAGGAACGAGGAATTAGGAATGAGGAACAAGCAATAGGACGGTGATGGAGATGATGGTGATTGTGGTGATGATGGTGGCAATGCGTATGATGTGGATTCAGGTGGTAATGATGATTGGTAATGGTTAATAGTAATGCTGGTGGTAGTGATGATGACGACGATGATGATACAGCTGCTGCTGATGAAGCTGATGATGATGATGACGATGGCGATGCCGATGGTGATTCTCATCATGAGGATGAGGATGGATGCGGCTTTGGATGAGGATGATGATGATTACGATGATACTTGATGGTGATGATGATGATGCCGATGATGATGGTGAGAGTAAGGTTGTTGTTGATGATGATGATGATGATGATGATATTGTTGATCGTGATGATACTGGTGATGATGCTGCTGATGCTGATGCTGATGCTGATGCTGATGATGATGGTTATGCTGATGCTGATGTTGCTGATGATGATAATGACGATGATGATGATGATGATGATGATGATGATGATGATGATGATGATGATGATGCGGATGACGATGATGATGACGCCGATGCTGATGATGATTATGATGTTGACGATGATGATGATGCTGCTGGTGATGAGGATGATGGTGAGTTTGATGATGATGATGATGGTGGTGAATTTGTTGATGATGATTTTGATTATGATGCTGATGTTGTTGATGATGATGGCGATGCTGCTGATGCTGATGATGATTGTGACGATGATGATCATGATGCTGATGCTGACGCTGTGCTGATGCTGATGATGAAACAGATGACGATGATGATGATGATGATGATGATGATGATGATGATGATGATGATGATGATGACGATGGTGATGATGATGCTGATTCTGATGATGATGGTGATGCTGATGATGAGGGGGTACAGATGATGATGCTGATGGTGCTGATGCTCATATTGATGATGATCATGCTGCTGATGCTGATGCTGATGATGCTGACGCTGATGCTGATGCTGATGCTGACGACGACGCTGATGGTGATGCTGCTGCTGACGAAGATGATGCTCATGCTGATGCTGATGCTGCTGATGATGATGATGCTGGCGATGGTGATGATGATGATGATGATGATGATGATGATGATGATGATGATGATGATGATGATGGTTGTGACTTTGTTGATGATGATGCTGATGATGATGACGCTTATGCTGATGCAGATGTTGATGCTGATGATGCTGCTGATGATGATGATTATGTTGCTGATGATGCTGCTGATGATTATGATTATGATACTGATGATGATGAGGATGATGATGAGGATGATGCTGATGATGATGATCATGATGATGATGATGCTGATGATGATGATGATGATGATGATGACGATGATGATGATGATGATGCTGATGATGATGATGATGGTGGTGGTGATGGTGGTGGTGGTGATGATGATGATGATGATGATGCTGCTGATGATGATGATGATGATGAGGATGATGCTGACGATGATGCTGCTGCTGCTGATGATGATGCTGCTGCTGATGATGATGATGATGCTGATGATGATGATGATGATGATGATGATGATGATGATGCTGCTGCTGCTGATGATGATGATGATGAGGAGGAGGAGGAGGAGGAGGAGGAGGAGGAGGAGGTGGAGAAACTGGAGGATGAGGGGAACGACGAGGATCGAGTTTTTTGACGCTTTGGGCCCGCGTTATGTGATGGTCGTAGGAGGCCCATGGAGGCCCCCTGAGATCTTTGGGGGCCCCTAATTGGGCCCTCCGGTGGAGTTCTGCCCTAATTGGGATGCGGCGAAAACGCTGGTCGTGGAGTTCTGCCCGCAGCGCGCGGGTGTTGGCGGGGGCCAGGAACTGCGATTACCGCATGAAGCGGTACGTGTTCCGCCGCACCGTCGAGGGCATCCACATCATCCACCTGGGTAAGGCCCGCGGGCCCGCCCCCGAGTGCGTCCTCGTCCCTCGGGGGGAGGGCGATTGGAGAGGAGGAGGAGGAGGATGGAGGAGGAGGAGGAGGAGGAGGAGGAGGAGGAGGAGGAGGGCGAGAAGGACGAGAAGGAGGAAGAGGAGGAGGAGGAGGAGGAGGACGGGGGAGGGCGGAGCAGGAGGAGGAGGAGGAGGAGGAGGAGGAGGAGGATGAGGATGAGGATGAGGAGGATGAGGATGAGGAGGAGGAGGAGGAGGAGGAGTATAAACAGCGATGTTGGATTTGACCCTCCCTCCAAGCTCCCTCTTCGTAGGCCCTTGCAAGGGTTCATGTCCACTGAGGAAGGTGTTCCGTTAGGAGACAACCGTTTGAAGGCCTTGAAGCGTACCGAAACACCATTCTCGGGACTCCAACGCCACGAATTAATCTGACTGTTGCGCCTTGACGATCGTGAGTCTTGCCACAACACCGTTCCTGGGTCTTCAGCAGCGCAAATCAATGTGTCTGTTGCGCCCTGGCAATCCAGCATCGTTCCCAAACACCATATCTGGCACGTGAACCATGGGACTCCGTGAGTCTCTGGCAAATGCTCAAGACAAATGTGCGTGGCGCTACGGCGAGATCCACATGTTTAAAAGGAACCGCCATCCATCTGTGAAACTCTGGCAAATTTTGTAAATGAATGTGCGCGGCGTCCAGGCGAGAGCCACATTTTGAAAACGGCCCGCCCTCAATTCGTGAAGCTCTGCACCTATGTAAAACTGATGTGCGCGGCGCTAAGGCGAGAACCACATTTTGGAAGAGGCCCGCCCTCCATGTGTGAAACTGTTGCTACATTCGAAGCTTCAGGGTGATAGATGGTAAGGCAGTCTCAGGTGAAACGCCCGGTCCGCCCTTACGACCGGCCTCGGGGTGCGACAGGGGAGAGCTGTTGATAAGGAAGAGGAATGGAGGAAGAGCAGGAGGAGGAGGAGGAGGATCTCCGAATCTCCCTGTCTCGCTCTCCAATATAGTTGTTACTTATGTTTTTCCCTCTCTCTATCGCTCGCCTTCTTTCGTCTCTTTCGATGCAGAATGGCCTTCGGCCCATTCCGCCACCGTGCGTGGGTTGTGGATCATAGTCCTCAGATGCTTCTTGGGGTCTCTTCGGAACCTCTTGGGGGCCTCTTGGGAGACTCTTGGGGGCCTCCTGGGGCTTCCTTCGGGCTTTCTTGGGGGCCTCCTGGGTCGTCTTGGTGGCCTCTTTTGGGCCTCAAGGGGCCTCCTGGGGGCCTCCCGGGGCCGGGGGCTTGAAATGTGCATTCGGGTCCCCCATCGGCTCCCTCTTGGAGCCGTCTTGGGGGCCTCTTGGGCCGTCTTGGGCGCCTCTTTGATCGTATTGGGGCCCTCTTTGGGGCCTCTTGGGCCGTCTTGGGGCGATCTTGGCGGCCTCCTGGGCCGTCCTGGAGCGTCGGGAAGCCGAAAAGGCGAGAACGCCCAAACCCATCACACACCAAAGGAAAACCACTTATTTTTGTTTCTTGGTGTCCTCTCGGGACGGACGCCTCTTGGAGGCCTCTTCGGGCGTCTTGGGGGCATCTTGGGCCGTCTTGGGGCCGTCTTGGGCGTCTGGGGCCGATCGGTCGGCGATTCGGGGTGCTCTTGAACCTGCTGGGCGTCCTCTTGGTGCCATCATTGGTCCGTCTTGGGGCGTCCTCTTGGTGCCATCATTGGTCCGTCTTGGGGCCCTCTCTGATGCGGCAAGGCGCCGGGAGTCCCATGGGGGCACGCCGGGAGCCCTAGACGATTTGGCAATGTCGGGTCCGTGCCCCTTGCCGAACCCCCAGAATTCAGGACTGAGGCTCCAGGGGATCGAACAAGGGAACTTGGGACACTCCAACTCATGCCTCGAGGGCACGGTGGCGTGTATGTGTTTGTGCAGTAAAGAAGTCGTTTCTCATCTTCCCTGACGTCCCCTCACCAAGCCAGATCAACGGTTTTTTTCTATGTCATGCCGTGCCCTTATACCTGCCCTCCCTTTCTCCTTTGTTTCCTCTCTCTATCTTTCCTTATGTCATCTTTTGTCCATGATGTTCTCTCGACTTTTTTCTTTTCTTCTATCTCTTTCTCTCTTTCTCTCTTTCTCACTCTTTCTCTCTAGCTCCCTCCCTCCCCCTCCCTCCCCCTCCCCACCTCTGTCTGTCTCTCCCTTCCTTCAGCACTGGCAGCAGGGACATGAAACTTGGTGGCAGTTGTGCTGGGCGAGCGGAGCCTGGTGCAGACAAGACGGCGTGGACATCCTGTCTGCAGGGCCGCCGCCCACAGGAGAGGACGAGCAGCAGGAGTGTCAGTACAGTGGGGGTGCGCCTCAAGAAACCATAGACTTTTCGTCAGGGAACCCTGGGTTTCTTCGCTCCGCGCGATGTGCGGTGACTTCCCGCGGCCGTTGAAGGAGCTGCTGCGTTCGGGGTGCTCCAGGTTTCCCCTCAGTTGCACCTCGCTCGCGGGTTTTCAGGGCTGGGTTTCTTGCGAGGGTTTCTTGCGACCGCGCCCGCACTGTATCCTTTGCCCTCTCCGTGGTCAGCCCCCTCCTCCTGCTGGGCCCCGGCTGCAGGAGGGAGCCCAGAGGTGCGCTTCCAACCCGCTCACGCTGTGGGCGTGGGCCCAGCCGCGGCGCAGCCCAGGAGTCCTCGGGCGGAGCCCGAGGTCACCTGCAGCTCGTTCGCTGCCCCTCGAAGCAGCAGGCTGGCGAGGGGGCCGTGGCGGACTTTGGCACTCAGGGTGCGGGCGGCGCAGACAGCTCAGACTAGATCTGCTCGGGCCAGCTGCGTCTGCTTTCTGAGGCCTGGTCTGTGCCGGTCTGTGCGGTTTCCAGAGGGCCCAGCTATAACCTCATTTGCAGGACAGCCTGCTGTGCTCTCCACTGGTCCCCTGAGGAGGGATTCGTCAGGTGGTTGCTGTTGAAGGAGCTCTCGCCCTCCCCATCTCTTGCTGTCACTCCCAAGCGATTCCTCGGTCTCGCCTCCCAGGAGCCGCCTGCCCCCCGGAGGCCTGGGAGAAGCTGATGGTGGCGGCGCGCGTCATCGTCTCGATTGAGAATCCGTCCCTGGGGGAGGGCCGCCTCGGGCAGGCCTCGGACATGTCGGGATGTGGCGGAGGGTGGAGGCAGCAGCGGCGGAGGCTGGAGCGGCGAGGGAGAACGAGGACGATGAGGAGCAGGATGGGGGAGGAAGAAGGGGAGGAGGAGGGGGGAGGAGGAGGAGGAGGAGGAGGAGGAGGAGGAGGAGGAGGAGGAGGGACAGTGAGACCCATCAACGATGTTCACCATTCCTGGGACTTCAGCGCCACGAATCACAGTTTCTGTTGCGTCTTGACGATATGGAATCGTGCCCGAACGTTGTTCCTGAGATTTCAACACCACGAATCAACGTAATTGTTGCGCCTGACAGTCGGAAAGAGTGCGTTCTGTGGTCGCTTGGAGGGGGGGGGTGAAACCGGAACTTCCCTCCCCCCTCCCCCTCCCTTCCTCGCCTGCTTCCCCTCCTCTCCTCGGGCGGGCGCTTGCGTCGGCGGGGGCTGGCGGCGGCGGCGGGGACGACGATTTCCTTTTCTGGGCCTGCGCCGGTGCCTGCGGCGGCGGGCGGCGGCGGCGGGGAGTATCGACGAGGACGGTGGTGGTGATGGTGGTGGGTTGTGGTTGTGGTGGTGGCGGTGGTGGTGGTTATGGTGGTGGTGGATTGGTGGTTTGTTGTGGTGGAGGTGGTGGTGGTTGTGGTGGTGGATGGTGGTGGTTGTGGTGGTTTGGTGGTGGTGTGGTGGTAGTGGTTTGTGGTGGTGGTGGTGGTGGGTTGTAGTGGTGGTGGTGGTTTGGTGGCGGTGTGGTGGTGGTTTGTGGTGGTGGTGGTGGTAGTGGGTTGTGGTGGTGGCGGAGGTTTGTGGAAGTGGTGCTGGTGGTGGTGGTGGCGGTGGTGGTGGTGGTGGTGGTGGTGTGGTTGTTTGTGGTGGTGGCGGTGGGGTGTGCTGCTAGTAGTTAGTGGTTGTGGTTGTGGCGGTGGTGGTGGTGGTGTGGTAGATTGTGGTGGTGGTGGTGGTAGTGGTGGTGGGTTTTTGTGGTGGTGGTGATGGTGAGTTGTGGTGGTGATGGTTGTGGCGGTGGTGGTTTGTGGTGGTGGTGGTGGCTTGTGGTGGTGGCGATGGCTTGTGGACGTGGTGCTGGTGGTGGTGGTGGCGGTGGTGGTGGTGGTGGTATTGGTGGTGTGGTGGTTTGTGGTGGTGGCGGTGGGTTGTGCTGCTAGTAATAGTGGTGGTTGTGGCGTTGGTGGTGGTGGTGGTGGTGGTGGTGTGGTAGACTGTGGATGTGGTGGTGGTAGTGGTGGTCGGTTTTTGTGGTGGTGTGTGGTGGTGTGGTGGTGGGTGGTGTGGTGGAATTGTGGTGGTGGTGGTGGCTGAAGTGGTGGTGGTGGTGGTGGGTTGAGGCGGCGGTGGTGGTGGTGGTGGTGGTGGTGTGGTGGCGTTGGTGGTAGTGGTGGTAATCGTCGCTGCGTTTCCGCCGTCGCCAGCGCCAGCGCCGGCGCTGCTGGCGGCCGCCAGCGCCAGCGCCGGCGCCGGGGGGGGGGTTTTGAACCCCGCCTCCCCCCCCGGCTCCCGGGGATGGGGGGTTTGAGCCCCCCCCGTTTGGGCTGCCTCTGGTCATCGTCGCTGCGTCCCCGCCATCGGCGCTGCTGGCGGCCGCCAGCGCCGGCACCGACGCCAGGGGGGCTGGGGGTTGAAACCCCGCACCCCCCCCCTTGGGAGAGGGGAGGGGGGGTTCGGGGGGGTGGGGGAGTGGGGGGGGCGGGGTCCCCCTGGTTTTGATCGACGGCGCCGACTGTTGGGGGGCCCCCCCCCCCGGTTCGAAACGCGCCGCCGAATGTTCCCAAGGCAAGCGCCCGTGAAACGCCTTCTCTCGACAGTCGACACCCAAACACTATTTCTCGGACGTTTACCGTGAGTATCTTTTAAACTGGAATCTGTTGCAGGATATTAGCTTCATGAGCAACCTGGTGAGGGAGTTTCAGGCGAAACGCCCAGCCGGCCGCTTCGACCAGCCTCGGGGTGCAACACGGAGGTGTTATTTAGAAGGACGGGAATTGAAGGGGAGGAGAGGAGGAGGACGGGGAGGCGGAGGAGGAGGAAGACGAGGAGGAGGAGGAGGAGGAGGAGGAGAGGAGGGGAGGAGGAGGAGGAAGGAGGACCTGTCACGGATCATGCAGGCCAGTTTTCTAGGCTGATGCGTTTTGTCGGTCGCGCTAGCCCAAATGTGCGGACGTTGCCTCCTCCTCCTCCTCCTCCTCCCCCTTTTTCCTCCCTCCCTCCTCCTCCTCGTCCTCGTCCTCCTCCTCCTCCTCCTCGTCCTCCTCCTCCTCCTCCTCTCCTCCTTCTCCTGGTGAATTGTACCTTTGAGGCTTGCCGCCCTTCTACCCGCCGCGCCTCTGCTGTGACGGGGTGTGTGCTCGTAGCGATCTTGACCTCTTGCAGTGCGTTCGAGGAGGAGGAACAGGAGGATAGGAGGGGGAGGAGGAGGAGGAGGAGGAGGAGGAGGAGGAGGAGGAGGAGGGAGGAGGAGGAGGAGGAGGAGGCGGAGGAGGAGGAGGCGGCGGCGGCGGCGGCGGCGGAGGAGGAGGAGGAGGAGGAGGAGGAGGATGAGGAGGAGGAGGAGGAACAAGAAGCAGAAGAAGAAGAAGACAACGAATAATAATAATAATACTATTACCAGTCATAAGAATGATCAGAAGACTAAGAAGAACAATAATAATAAGCATACTAATAAGGAGAAAACGAAGAAGACACATACTATGACCAATAAGAGGAGTACTAATAATAATACGGAGAAAAAGACGACGAATAATAATAAGCATGCTACTAATAAAAAATAAGAATAATACTAAAACGAATAAGACGAACACTAATAATAAGAAGAAGACGAATAATTCTAATAAGAAGGAGAATACTAAGACCAATAATAAGAATACTAATACTACGAATACTGATCATAAAAATAAGACTAGTAATACGACGACTCAGACGAATCCTACTACTAACAAGAATAAGAACCATAACGCTACTAATATTAACCAGAAGAATACTGCGAAGACGAAGACTAGTAATATTAAGAATAATACTAAGACGAAACATACCACTAAGAAGGATAATTATACAAATAATCATACAAATACGAATAATCTACTACTACTAATACTAACACGACTACGAACACTAATAATAGTAGTCGTAGTAGTAGTGGTCGCAATAATAATGATAATGGTAATAATAATAACACTACTGTTCATAATAATGCTACGAATAATACCAATCATAATAATTTAATCAATGATAGTATCAATACTAATAATACTACTGATATTACTAACAATAACACTACTGACACTACTACTATTACTACTATTATTAATTATTAATACTATTACTAGTATTAGTATTAGTAATAGTATTACTACTATTATTATTAATAATTTTAATAATAGTAATACTATTACTAATACTAATACGGATACTAATACTAATACTAATATTAATACTAATACTAATACTAATACTAATACTAACGCTCATACTAATACTAATACTAATACGAATGCTACTACTAATACTAATACTAATACTATTACTATTACTACTAATACTACTGCTAATACTAATACTATTAGTAATACTAATACTAATACTAATACTAATACTAATACTAATACTACTACTAATACTCATACTCATACTCATAGTAATACTATTACTAATACTAATACTACTACTACTAATACTAATGTTACGAATAACAACAATCATACTACTAATAGTAATAATGCTATCAATAGTACTACTAATAATACTAATAAGACTAATACTAATAATAATAAGACTAGTCAGACAACGAGGAGGAGGAGGAGGAGGAGGAGGAGGAGGAGGAGGAGGAGGAGGAGCAGGAGGAAGGGAGGAGGAGGTGGAGGAGGAGGAGGAGGAGGAGGAGGAGCAGGGGAGGGGAAGAGAAGGGAAGGGAAGGGAAGGGAAGGGAATGAGGAGGAGGAGGAGGTGGAGGAGGAGGAGGAGGAGGTGGAGGAGGAGGATGATGAGGAGGAGGAGGCAAGAAGTGTGAGGATCACGGTGCCTTCTTCATCCTCCTTCCTCCTCCTCATCCTGCTTCTCCTCCTCCGACCCCCTCCTGGTTCTTCTCCTCCTTCTGACCTTCCCAGGAGGAGGGCGAAGATGACTCGGGGGAGGCGGGGGGGAACAAGGACTAGGAGAAGGCTCCTTGGGCTCTGCAGAGGAGCAGGCGCTGGTCCGCTCTTGCGGCGGCCCGCGCGCGGCGGGCTGGCAGACCGCCTCGCCCAGCCAGCCTGGACAACGCCTGGAAGATGCTGACTGCTGCTCCACGGCGCGCTGTGTGGTGGGCCAGGGCGCCGCTCCCGATTGGGGGGCCACCTTCAGGCCTGCGCCCGCACTGGTGGTCGCGCTGGCCAGCGTTGCGGGGACTCGTTCGGCGCCATGGGTCGCCACCCTTGGCGCTGCTCGCGCGGGGGCGGGCTGAAGGCGCGCAGCGGTGACTCGGAAACCGCGTGGGGGCGGATCCATGCCGAATGCGGCTACCGCGTCGCGCGGCAGATGCCAGTCCCAGCGTGGGATCGCTGGCACTCGTTGGAATTGTGCGGTGTGTGACGCGGGCGGCGCGGTGGCCGCGCGCCCGGCGGCAGGGGCGGCCTGCGCCGGCTACTGGACGGTGCTGACGACGCGGCGCGAGTAAGCCATGCTCGACCTGAAGATCCAGTGGGCTGACTGCCCGCAGGTATGCGCCGACGTCACGGTGCGCCACGGCCTGCCTGGCGACCCCGAAAGGGCTCTGGGCCGCTGCCGTGCGAAACGGCGCTGTCAGCAGGGGCGCAGAGGCGGACCAACACATGCGGTGACCATGAGGAGCAAGTCTCCCCCCCTCTCGGCGCAAACTTCAAACTACCGCCCGTGGAAATGATGCCCCCGGCCCCTGGATTTCAAACTTTGCCCCTTGCCTCAGCGCCGCGCGCATTAGTTTGGAAAGTTTGCGCGGATTTCGC